CCCGAGCCGGCTGATCTTTTTCTTTCAGTCACATTTATTGGCAGTTGTGGCGGTTGGTACGGTTCGGGAGTGTTGTTCCATAAGCCGTTGCAGTACAAGAAGGGGTGGTTATTTCGGGAGGGGAGTATTAGCACCAAAAGGGAGCCGGTGAGCTTCAGAAACCTTGCAGAGACGCACTGGGAAGTGGGGAGCTACTGCTGGACACGCCGGATGGATTGGATCTGGGAGGTCTGGGCATGCGAACCCCACTCTCTCCAGTGCTTGTAGTCTCCTCCGTGGTGGTCGGACTCCAGGACGTACTGGTAGCCACGGTACCCGGGATACTGGTAGCAAACCCAGCTGGAAGAAAAGGAGTCGTCAGGCGGGCCGTAAAGGGGATGCGAGGTAAGCGAGGGGGTTTCGGGGTGCCCCCTCCAGCCGTGGCAGGACAGCGACTTTGCCCGTCACTTACGCGCCGCACTGGATCTTCATGGAGCCCACTTCGTTGTTGGCCCAGCCCATGGCCTGCAGCGAGGGGTAGTCATCGCTGATCTCCCACTGGCGGCCGATGAAGTTGTCTTTCTCAAAGACGGTGATCTTGGATTCTTTGTGATTCTGAGGGGGAGGGAGAGCAGGGGGTGAGGGGGAGGCGGTGCTGCCTCCCAGTCGGGGATGGGGACGGGGGACGGCAGGGTGATGGCTGTCCCTCCCTGCGGCATTGCTCGGGGGGGTTTCCCGGAGGGAGGGGTGTTCAGACCCTGGGCTGATTTTCCCAAAGCCCAGATGCGTGGAGGTGCTCAGCAGAGTGGTGCTGGGCCAGGACAGGGCAGGGGTTGGCCTGGGAGGTGTCAGTGACGGCGATGCCACAGCTACCGTCCCTGGCTGGCTGTCCTCCAGCTCTGGGCAGGTACAGCTGGCCCTGCAGTTCCCTCAAAAGGTTTAGAAAACAGGGCAGAAAGAGCAAATCCTGCCTGGCACAGGAGCAAAGAGCTGAGCCTGCCCCGAGGAGCCTCCGCTACCCGCAGAGCCCCTGGCATGGCTGGGTTTGGGCTCCCTCCCTTGGCCTGGTGGTAAAGGTAGGTGTTAGTGGGATCAGAGGCGGGGGAGCCCCGCGGGAGCCGGGACGCTCACAGCAGAGCAGACGGGGCGGAAGGACATCAGGCGCTCGATGTGGTAGTCGTTGCTGCCGCTCCAGGCGTCCCAGCGCGGGTACTCTCCTCTCTCCAGGATGAACTGCTGCCCGCAGAAGCCGGTGTGCTCGTAACCGACCCAGCTGCAAAAACAGGGCAAGGGCTGCCAGGGCTTCCTGCGGCAGCTCTGGGCCTCCAGCTCGGGGCTGGCACCGGGGCACGGATGTAGGTGCGAGGAGGAGGTTGGGGTCTGGCCTCTGCCCGCAAGTCCGGGAGGAAAGGAAGCGGCGATGGATGCGTAACCGCGTTTGGTGCCTGGGAGGCTGCCCGCACGGCAGCTCCAGCATCCCACGGCTGTGGCGGGTGCTGGGGTGTCCCCCCCCAAGGGGCCCAGCCTGCAAGGGTGCCTCGCTTTCCCCTAACGCTCTGTGGTTGTTTACGCAGGTCGGTGTCGTGCTGGGATGCCACAGGACACCCCTGGCTGCCCTTCTCTCCCAAAGGCCTCGTTTCTTACTGGTTTCCTGACTGGAACCTGGCACAGCTGGCAAGACCTGCGTTCCTAACGCCCAAACCAGGCAGCACCCAGCTGGCTGCGGGCAGGGCAGGGAGCTGTTGCCTTCCCCCTCCCTGGGTCCCCCCTCTTCACTGAAAACAAACGAGGAGAGGTCCCTGCGGGACACATTTTGCGAGCCCTGGTGCTGCCCACACGAGAGCCTGCCTGTCCCCAGGGTGGGGACCTCTCTTGGGCACGTCCCCTTACAGAGACCGGGGATGGAACAGCCACAGCCGCGCCGGAGGGGCGGGGAGACGGCACGGGCTGTGTAGCCCGCAGCCCCCCTGCTTATGGGGCATGCGGGGTGCCGAGGGGCAGGCTGAGCCGGGGGGGTTGAGGGCCTCTCGCCACCCACCCAAACCGAGTGCCGGTCCCGTGTCCCGCGGTCGGCCTCCCGCCGTGCAAGGTGACCAGCCTGCCGAGGAACACGGCAACTGGAGCAGGGAGCTGATTACGGCGTGAGCACGCATGCCGCTGTAATCCCGTTAGCGTTACAAATCCTAAATATAGCAGCACAAATCTATCTCGTCTGCTTCCCCGGCCCCAGCGGGATGCTTGCCGGGGGGACCGCTCCTTACGCGCAGCACCTCGGAGCGGCTCGGGAGATGTCTCGCCTGTGCCAGGGAAAATTCCGGTGCCAGGAGAAGCCCAGCTCTGCTCCCTACCCCTGTCAGCGGCTGGGGGGGCCCC